TCAATATTTTATGTGTCGCTATTGAGTTTAAAAATAAGTCTTTGAAAACAACCTAAAAGCATATTATTATTATAAAATGGATGTACAAAATATTGAAATTCAACAGACAATTCCTTTTTACGAAAAGAAGTCAATATGCAAATGAACTTGAAAAAGGAAAATCTTATCTTATCAGGCATCTCGTCAGGGATAGAAAGATTGAAAAATAAAAGTGTTACTAGCTTGAGAAAAAGATAATATTATGTTAATTTCCTTTCATAGAGTGAGAAGGAGTATTGTAGAAAAGAAATTCTTATGCATTCACTTTAAGAAGATAGAGAGTGAATTTGAATCATTTTTGCAGAAGAAAATTTTCTACAATGCTTTACCACTTTATAGAGGAGGAAAATTTCATTGGGTTTTAGAATCTGTCAGAGTGAGATGGAAATTTCTCAAATATTTGCCACGCAATTTTTTGTATTTTTCGAAGAAGGAAAACAATATTTATCAGGAGATGAAAGAAAATTAAATAGTTATTTCTGATTCGAGAGGAAAGTAACCTTATTTGTTTATATTTGTTAGAGCATTATATTAACATTTCACTTAATGAAAAAAATTTTTTTTTTTATTTACATTTATATTTAAATAAATTTTTTCATATAAAAAATAAAACAAATCATTATTTGCAGTAAAATTTTTTTAAAATTCAATTATTTTTAAAAGTAATAAAATTCTTTTTAATATCTACTATTTTAATAAAATTTTTCCAATGGAATCTAATTATTTAAAAAATTTTTAATTATTTTCATAAAATAATAAACATTTCACAGGAATTCAATTATTTACAAATTTTTTTATAAATTTCTTCACAATAATTCAATTATTTTCAATAATACAATTCTGATTAAATTTCTCAAAAGAAATCAATTATTTTCAAAAATTTTGATAAAATTCTTTGCGTGAATTCAATTATTGCCATAAATAATGAAACACATCAAAGAATTTCAATTCTTCGAAAATTGTAATTATTCTTAAAAATTTTATTAAATTTCATTATCAATTTAACAATTTGTTGGTAAAATTCTTTATGAGAATTCAATTTTAAAAAACATTGAATAATTCCATTAATAATTTATTTTTGTGTTTAAATAATTGAATTTCTAATAAAAAATAATTAAAAAATAATTTCCGGTGAAAATTTTAGATAATAATTGAATATTAAAACAAATATAGCGTGGATTTTTATGAATAATTGAATTTTAAAATTAACTTTTTTGAAAAATTTAGTTAATTGAATTTTTTTTTATATTATTTGAAGTTTTTGTTTTCTAATATATATTTAATTGAAGAATTTACGAATAATTGAAATTTCGTAAAATCGAATATTTGTAAACAAATGGATTTGAAAATTGTCAAAGAACTTTTAGTTAAAGAATTTGAGTTAAAAATTCTTGAAAATAATAATTGAATTGAAATGATGAAAATAATTTTGAAAAAGTACAATATTTTTATAATATAAAATAATGATTTTATCCTTTGGACATCTTTAATTATTATCGTGATTATTATAAAACAAAAAGAAATTTAATTAACAGCTCTCTTATTTGACTCGAACTGGTTAAATTTTTGTTCATAAGTGGTCCGTAATTTTTCATTTTTGGTCCGTAAAGCACGTATTTTTTTAATACTGTCACTGGTTCGAGCTCTGATAATTTTTTTTAAAAATGTTCATTTTATAATCATAATTTATAACGTTGGTGACGTTTACAATGATTTAGAAGAAAATTTAATTTTCTATTTAAACTTTTGTCTTAATAAAACTTTTACAATGTTTCTTGTATAAAAAGTTAAAAAAAAATTTTTTTTTTAAATTTTAAAAAAAATTTTTTTTTTTTTTATTTTTTTTTATTGTTGATGACAAACGTTGTGAACTTCTCCCACGTCATTTATAAGTGTTATCAAATAAAATTTAAGCAATGCATTTTTTGTAACCCCTTATTATGCCGATTCTTGAAACCTAGAAAAAAAAAATTTTAGAAGGCCTGGAAAACCTGGAACTATGGTTAAAAATTAGCAAATCATGGTCAATGACAAAAATATTTAGAAACCTAAAAATTTCTATATTTTTGACCATGTCCAAAGAGAAAAATAGTTTTGAAACCTTAAAATTTATATATTTTGACTATTGTCACATTTTTGGTCCTAAACTATTTTTACCTTCGCCTATGGTTTGCTAAATTTTGGAAATGGTCAAAATAGAAAATTTTTTCTGTTTTAGCTAAAAATTCAATGTTTATTGGATAAATTTGTTAATTTATATGTATCATCTTCTACATCAGTATCCTTCCTCACACTCTTTCTTTATTTAGTATTGAAACACTATATCGAAATCGAAATCGTATCCATATTCAGAGCATTGTAACGAAGATGCATTATCTCTAAAGTTTTTATGTTCGCTCTTCGCTCACACGTTTTTTTATAATGTTTTGAATTTGTTTTTCTTATCTTTACCTTTTCTCGATAAATTTTTTTGTTAAAAAAAAAGAAGTATAATGTTATAGAGAAGAGAATGGATGTTAAATCTTCCTAAACTAAACTTTGTTCTTTCATAGAAGCTCTTAATAAAAAGTAAACACAAGGTTAACGCAAAAAATATTAAAAATAAATTATTAGTTTCTGATGAGGTCGATATAGTTATCGTTGAAACAAGGAAGGAAATAATTTCATTTTTCCTTTTGCTTAAAGAATGAATTGTAAAAAATATATTTATTTATTCAACAAAGTACCAAAAATTAATTAATTTCTCAAAAATGATTGTGTAAATTTTTACATACCTAAAATTTACTGGAATTCATGGAGAAATTCTATTGAATTGTTATAGTGAAATTCCATAGAATGTTTCCATAGAACTATTCTATTATATAATCTTTGTAGTAAAATTCTACAAAATTTTGTTTACCGGAATTATTTATCCAAGAGAATGCAGACCTTTAGGGAAATAATTACCATTTAAATAATTCAATAATTTTTTATTTTTAAAATACCAATAATTTCATGATATGCAAATAAAGAAATACGTTTTTCTGGTTACTTTTTTCGAAAATTGATATTTTTATTCGTACAAAGATTACTATTAATAATAAAATGTTAATCTTTTAAATTCAAGAAGCGATTATAGTTAACTGTATATTGCAATACATTAAATAAATTAATTCTCTAAAAATTTGGTTTTTTCAAAATAAATTTTTTTCCGAGTGTTCATAAATGAATTTGAGAATAGAATGGTTCATGAAACTTTTACTTCAACGTGTATAACTTTAGTACTTAGAGTAGACGATTGAGAGTGAGCGAGGACAATTGAAGAAGTTACAGTATATGCATGGTGCCACAATTACTTCGCAGGTTGTTTGTCAGAATTTTAATACATTTTAATTCCTCATGAATTGTGAGAAAGTTTTAAAGCGAAATGTTGGAGGATTTTATTACAATTTATTTATATTGCAAATTTGCAGATGTCTAGTTTAAATTTAATTGACCTAATGCACGTGTTATTTCATATTTCAGTTTCTGGAAATTTGAAAATTATAAAAATAGGAATATTTCAAAAGAGAGATAACTCCACAGTATTTATGGAATAATTAAAATGGTTTTTTTTTCAATAACGTATAGTTAATATTTTAACAAAATATTTAGTAAATATTCAATTGAAATTTATGACCTCAAAAACTTCCGAGTAACAATTTTCAAATAAATTCAATCTATTTTCGAAAAAGTCGCCGCCATATTGGATCCGCCATTTTGTATTTTTGAAATCTGACTTCATATTATTAATCAGCAACCCCGAAAACTGTTAAATAATCATTAAAATCTTAAAATTTTTAATTTAAAAATGTTTAATAGTTAACATGATGAAATGAAAGGTTTTCTTTGCCAAATTCGGATTCAGCGCACCAAAAACTACAGGACATGAGTTACTGATCTCAAACAACGGAGAAATTTTTTTTTTTTTTTTTTTTTTTGAATGTCATTGGCCGCGATAATTGGACTTTCCGACTAGACAATTAGAATTTCCGTTAAAAGGGAGGATATAGTCATGCGAAGCGTAAAAGGAAGTCACCCTTCATCACACAGGTTGGGAGACTCGCGGAATTTTCAATCAATCGTTTAGGGGCGAATTACTCACACATTTGAAGGGTAGAATATTCCAGAAGCTTCAGAACGATCCGACGGCTATATAAACAAAGAAATCAGAAGCTTCGCTCTCTTAATTTTTCGATAATCAAACAAGATACGTGAGAGAATTATAGTTATTTAGGGTGATCACTGACAACTTCAAACCTAAAGCGAAAATATTTTAAAAAATTAATTAATTTAAAATAGATTAATTTAATTAATTTTAATCTATTAATCTTTCATCTTTGTTTGAAATTATTCCTCTATAAATGAAACAAATTTATTTTATAGAAAAAAGATTTTTCAATTTTTTTTTGTATGCGCTGAAAACTGTTTAAAAAGTGACATATTTAACTAAAAATATGAAAGAGAAAAAGCCTTTCAATTAGACAGAAATAGTTTAGTGCCCAAAAGGAAGAGGAAAAAATTCTGTAAAATATAGCTTTCAACATGATGATCAATTTGTAACAAAATTGTAAAGGATTAAAATCTACAAATGTTAAACCAGGGTGTTAAACTGTAGGTGTTGAAAAGCTCATTATTTTTGACTTTCAACATTGTAATTCGGAACTTTAGGGGCAAAAAATACAAATCGTTAGTTTATTAAACATGCTTATGAGCCTTGTTCATTTAGTAATAGGCTTTACCGATCTGCTGCCCTTTGGAAGATTAAATAAATATTAATCCTGGTTATCAAGCAATTATTATTTATTATTAATTAGAAAATTACTAATTCCTTCGAATTAATTATTTAGACAATTTTTCAGAGGGATTAATTTTATGTTTAAGTTTAAAGAAACATTTTAATTTCATTTCGTATTAATTTATTTGTTAATTATTTGTTATAGTTACCATGGCACCAGTAGAGACTACTACAGTAGCAGAAACGCCAGCTCCTGGTAAGTTTTTGATACTATTTGAGAATGTTTCAAAAATACAAAAGAATTCATTACGAAACTTTGTAAGAAATTTAAGAAAAATCATCACAAAAATCATATATAGAATTTCTCATATTATTCGGTAAAATTATTTTCACCCGAGCATCGAATTTCAAATATGAGAAAATCTATTTCAATTTTAACTTTCAAAATCATTTTTTCAATTTAATCAATAAATTTTTAGTAATATGTTATCTTTTTCTAAAAGAATCAGAAGGTTAATAATAACAAATAATAAAATTATAATAATAATTGTTAATAATAACAAAATAATAATAAAAATAATAACAAAGCTTTCTTTGATTCTACAGTTCCGGTGGAGAAAGTTCATCCAAAATTACCTCACATCCCTGCTGGTAAAAAAATATTTACTTTTCTTATATTCATTAACCTTATTCAGTTAGTTTCATTTTAAAATTCATTCATTTTTATAATAAATGTATTTAAAAATAATGCTTTTTATGACTTAAATATAAAGTAATATTATTATTCAAAAACTGACTCGGGTAGAAAAATTTCTATTTTTCTTTTTTTTTACATGAACATTTATGAAGTTATTTCAAAAACTTTTTTCAATATGTCATAGGGCTATCTTTAACCCTTTCAGTCACGTAATTAGGATACTATAGGCAAAACATTATAAACGCTATTGTAAATAAAGTTTTTAAAGTCGTTGAATACGAATCCGGGGTCAGAATTTCAAAATTTTCAAAATTTAAAATGGCGGATCCAATATGGCGGACGAAAAATTAAAAAACACTTGAATTTACTTGAAACTTGTAACTCGAGGGTTTTTGTGATCGTTGATTACGAATCTAACGTCAAATTTCTTAAATGTTCAAAATTCAAAATGGCGGATCCAATATGGCGGACGAAAAATTAAAAAACACTTGTATTGACTTGAAACTTGTAACTCGAGGGTTTTTGGGATCGTTGATTACGAATCTAACGTCAAATTTCTTAAATGTTCAAAATTCAAAATGGCGGATCCAATATGGAGGACGAAAAAAAATTAAAAATCACTGTTATTAGATTGGAACTTGTCACTCGGGGGTTTTTGAGGTCGCTGATTACGAATTTCATGATTGATTCGCGAAATTCGAAACATCAGATTCAATACAATTTACTAAAAAAATAAAAAATAATTTAAATTACAAAAAATTAATGTAATTGTTACGGCTTGATCTTTAAGGGATCTTCATTAGAACAAATGTAGAAATTGAAATCTTCTTTTTCTCCAGAAGAGAGGAAGCAGAAAAAATTTCTTAGAAAAAGTTTCTCATAATTCTCTAAACGCTTTATTGGCAAAATAATCTAATATAATTAACTTATAAAAAGTTGAAATAAACTATGACAGAAAGTAATTATTGTAGTTAATTGTATAAGAAAGGTATTGATCCGTTGAACCCAATTTGTGTAGCTTTTTTGAACAATTTTTTTAGGATAAATGAAAAAGCGCAGATAAACACTTAAATTAGAGATAATGTGACTTTATTGACTATATAGACAAATTATTAATAAATGGCTATCAGTAACCACGTTAAAATGACAAAAAGTTCTTTTGCAGTACGTGCTTATAAGTTTTGTTTAAATTGTTATCGATATTTTCTTTTTTGTTTAAATATAATTAGGTTGATAAAAATGATTTTTAAAAGAGCACGTTTATTTTAATAATAATTAAAGATAAAAATGTTAAGGATTCTTAAACCTTAGAAATGAAACAGCCATTATAATTATTTAGATTGTAGTTACATTTAAAAAAAAAATCTTTAAATAGAATAACAGTCTACGCTTGTTTGGCATTACAAAACTTTTTGTTGGTTCTATAATCCTATTTTTATCTTCGTTTTTTTTAAATTTTAAACAATTCAATCTCTCAGTAACAGACAATATATAGACTCCATATGATAGTTATTGATGACAACAAGTTTTTATGGGTTTAATTTTTTTTTTGTAAAAACTTTTATGTGAGAGGGAAATATCTCCATCTACAAGATTAAACACAATTTGCGTTTTTGATTAACAGGATGGTTGGATAAAAAAAAATGTTAAAAAACCTACAAAACTTTTCTCTAACGGATCGATATACCTTTTTACACAATTTTAATTAATGGAGTGCAATAAAATATTATCTTCTCAATCATTGTAGTTACTAGGCTTTTTAAATATTGTGAAATAAATGCGTGTTTCACAATTCTCTAAAATCAAAAAATAGCTTTCTGTTATTTCACTATTTTCCAAAAAATCAGGAATGGGAACAAAAAGTAAACTCGAAAATTTAAATTTACTCAATTTCGATTGCAAATGAAACAAAGTAAAATCAATACTAACTTTTCGTTTTTAATTAGTTATAACGTAGTTAGTAATAATTTTTCACTAAAGAAAATAATCATTTTATTTTAATCTTGTGTCCCTAAAATTTGCTGCGATATAGAAATAATGATAACTAAACAATTATTCTGAGATAATTAAAATGAAAGTAAATAATTTATATAACAGGGTGGCAGCTTGGTGATTTAGGGGAAATAGATTACGGCGCTCAACAAAATAATCCTGTTTGGAAGCAAATGGTTTCAGAGCCTGCAAAGTGGAGTTTAATTGTGCCACAACATCGTCGACCTGTACCCACTTCCCTTAAGGTAAATATACTTACAAATTATGCTCTGAAAAAAACCCACAAAAAAAAAATCCATGTGTTATTTATTTGGACTCCAAACTGAAAAGTAGGATGTGAAGCAATTCTATATCTTTAGTTTGTTAACTACAATTATTTAAATTTCAAAAAATAATTAATTTTTATTACTAAATAATAACTATAAAGTTATGACATAAATATTTTTTATATAAAGTTTGTTAAAAATATTATCATTTTCCTTTAATTGTACTTTCTTTAATATTTTACATTTTTTCATACTAACTTATTATGGTCATTCGATTAAACTGGTTTCAATTTTTTTTATAGTTTCTATTTTTTAATTTTTTATTACTGATACATTCTAGTGTAAATAAACCAGTATAAAACTAATAATTTTTTAAGCTCAGATAATCTTAAAACCTTATCTATTTTTCAGCATGGACACGGTTGGTGGTGAGCGTAAAAATCGACGTATATTTTAATTACAAAGAAAATTTAATTATCAAATAATACGACAAAGGACTTTTCCTAGAAGAGAAACTGTTCTGCAGCGCCTTAAATATATTAAAACTAACAAATTTCTTTGAAAGAATTTTTGAAAATATTCAAGTTAACAATGTGTAAAATCTGTATATATTATGATAAGACTGTATAATTAATTATTAACATTAATTATTGATATATAGTTTCTAAGTGAAAATGTTAAATAATGAATAGAATTGTTAATTATTACATAAGTTAGTTATTTATAGTTAATTAATAAAAATGAGACGTTTCGAATAAATTTTCTTTTCACTTTTTGAATATTATTCTAACCCTCCTTTATAGTAATAAAAGAAATATAGGATCAACGGGAGAAACGTGTAAACACACGGTTTTTTACATCTTCTCAATACACAAAAATTATACTTGAGAAAAATGAGCAAAAAAAGTAAAAAAGTTATTTAACTCTATCAAGTTTCAAAAAAGTCCGCGAAGCCATCCAACTACAAAAAGTCTGTTAGCAGCCAAGAAAAGTAGAATTCAACTGCAATAAAAAAACTTTCGCGGCAAAAATAAGTTGCGGTAGCTATTACCGCGCTATTTACGTAAATCCTTAAATTTCTTTTAGTTTAAGTAAATGTAAACAGTATTCTCAGTTATGTATTTTGTAATACATTTAGACGAAATTTGTTCCCCTTTGATCTTCGCGACATTCAGACTATTTACACTGTATTACATTACAGGTAGGGTTACAGCTTTTATTAGTTTCATCAAAGTTATATAAGGGAAGTCAGATCCTTTATTTTCAGTTCTTTAAATTTAAATGTTCAAAAGATGATTGGAATTTTTTACTTCTAATATATAATTCATAATAAAATTTACGATCAAGATTGTCAATGAGGTAAAATAGATCTAACATTTAACTATAAGTTTTCTCAACTCTTCTTGATTTATTGTTTTCAGTTAGTCAAATCTATAAATGTTTTTCACAATGACGCCTTTACAATTCATCGATTGCAATGTAATTACATCTATTAGACAACATTTCCTCTTGGTAATTTAATGCAATTTCTCATCTGGAACAAAACAGGTTCTTTTTTCTTGAATCTTATTTCTCCTCGGAAAAATTTTCTTTCACGTTCCAACAATTGTCGTTCATTAATTGTTATTTGATGAAAAACAAATTTTTTCTTCAAAAATTTCATTACTTCTTTCGTGTCACTTAATGTTGAATATGGTAGAGCAATTTTGAATTAGGCTTAACTTCTTGAAGTTAACTTTTGAAAATTATTTTAGATTCCCGACTCATTCGAAATTGTAATAGGTAACGGAGAATGTATTATACATATACGCTTCAACTGTTGAGTGTATTCTTCATCCTTATACGATAGATAGAAGAATCACATATATATGAATGTAAATGTAATCATTGCCATGAATTGGCAAGTTCTTTCTGCGGCTTCTTTAATCTAAAATCAGATCGCAGAAGTGCGAGAAGCGAGTCATCGCATAAAATGAAAAGTGATGAATTTGATACTATTCTGGTCTACTACAAGTTCAATAGAAGAATTTCTACTATTATTTCTAAAAAAAAGTAAATTAGGTGCAAGCAGTAAGGTAATCGTAAAAATATATAAATTTTATGCACAAAAAACACGTTCAAAATTAATTAAATAATTTGTTCCATGTACTGTCAACACAAATCTCCTTTTCGTAACTGTATGTTTTCTATATGTGAACATTGTTCCTTGATTCTTAAATTATAAAAGTTAATTTATTACTGAAATTTCCAGTAAATTTTTACGAACAATAAATGTAAATAAATTACAATTTTAATAAAGTAATTTAATTGTAAATGAATTAAAGTAATTCTGGCAGTTCGCTTGATCTCTTAACGAAATTAATAGTATTTGGTACAAAAAATAATTTTCAATTTATCAATACAATAATGTCCATCATTCTCATAACATTAAGAAGTAATCTTGCATTGAGAACTCGAACATTTTTCACATACACGACAGCGTCGGAAGGTATGATTAAATCCTAAAGTTTATTAAAACATAAAAATAAACTATAAAGTGACAACATTTTTCAGTTAGACTCAAACTAGTAGAAAATCACGTACAATTGTTCTACTATTTTTAATTATACCTGTAATACAGAAAAGGCTTAAAAAACATAAATACTTAAATAAAACTCGAGAGAAACGTGGAATTGATTTGAACATCAGTTATTAAACAAAATACTTGAGAATCTAGTTTCGAATATATCATTTGCTTTTCTAATATTGCATAACATTATTATTATTTTTGACTCCGTAATTGCAGACGCTGATGATAAAGAAGAAGACGAAGCACTGGAAAGTGTAAAAAAAGACAAGATAAAAATTTATGACAAATTGTTAAAGAGGAGATGGAACTAGATATCGAACTAGTAGAACCAGGAATTGAACCAGCTTATTATTAATATTAAAATAATCTAAATGATGATTCCAACACGTCAAGTTTAGGTACCAAACTAAATTCTTAAAAATATTTTAGGACAAAATTTTATTAAGATTGTATACATAAATTTTTGTATTAAATAGCGGTAAGAATTCCTAAAGTGGGCCCTATTTTTTTAAGTGTGTGAATTTTTCTCAATCTTATATGTTTCGATAGCTTATAATGGTATAATAAAAACCTGTAAATAGATCAAAATTTAAATTAAAAAATATAATTTGTTTAAATATATTAACTTTTTAATTTTTGTGGTTAAAAAAAATGTGTTCTCTATCTTTTTAAATTTTTTTTTGATAATCAAATAGAGAATACTTTTAAGGTTTCGTTTAAAAAATAAAAAAGTGGGATTCTCTATTACTTTAGAAAATATAATATTTTTAGCTTCAAAAATTTTTTGAAAAGTAAAAGAGATTTAAAACAAAACAAATGAATAAACTAAACTCGACAACTTTAACAAAAAAAATTACAGATTAACAATCGTACATATATACATAAAAGCATGAAATCGACACGAATTCATTTGTTTTGTTTTAAATCTCTTGCTTTTCAAAAAAAAATTTGAAGCTAAAAATATTATATTTTCTAAAGCAATAGAGAATCTCACTTTTTTATCAGATCCGTGGCTTTCTATTTCATCTATGTATATATATTTTTTCAAAAGCAATATGGACCCAGCCGATGGTTTTCCAGTGCCGAACATCATAAATTTCATAGATAAATTGGGCAGTGCCTGTCGTCTGCCAAACATGACTGACATCGTGGATATGTTCAGCAGACTTTTTTGTGGTAGAAGAACTTTTCACTAAAGGACAACCAAAAGATCAAAAAAGTTCGTTATGATATTTTCTCTAACAATTATGACGAATTGCAATCTAAATTTAGAATTTCCAAAATACAAACAAGATTTTGTTATAATGATGTTCTGTTATCAATAGATTAAGTCGCGAATCAAACTTATACTGTACTATACTCACAGATCGCGCACAAGTATTTTAAGTTAATGAATGTTAAATATTAATATAATATCTGTTAATATATTAATTTTTGTATTTAATTGTAGGTAAAATTTTAGTCTGCAATATTTTGTATTATTTGTAAATGGCTTTTTATGCCCATTTATACATTTAAATAAATAAATAAAACCATGATGAGCAATTGTAAAAACAAGGAGTACCTGTCTGTGGGGTAATGTGGACTATTAATTATGATCAAATTGTAACTGTTGTCACGGACGGAGGTGCAAACATAAAGGGTGCAGTAAATGAAGAGTTTGGTTAACAAATACATATTAACTGTATTGCACATAACATAAATAATATAGTACAGGCGTGTATTGGTCTCTCGCAACAGAAAGTTCTATCAGAAGAAGATAATCATTTGGAAATTCCAGAAGAGGAAAATGATTTAGATGAAGCTAATGCTGCGACTAGAGAAAATGAAATCGAAGGAGAATCAAATCAATTTGGAAACGATAATATTTTAATCTTTCAAATTAAATCACAGTGAAAAATAACAATAAAGTGGGGTCTATTTTTTTGCTTTCGCAAACGCAAGTACGCCTTAATTGATGTCAAATTCTCCAAGCTCGAAACAGTGAAGATTTTTGCAACAGCAACATTTTTAGATCCGAGGTTTAAACTAGATGCTTTCAGCAATTCAATAACAGAATCAAGTACAATACGTCATGTAGGTAAGAATTAAAAATAATTATGAAATATAAAATATAAATAATTTAAAGCAATTAAAATACATTTTACAGCTAAATTAGTTGAAGACCTCGTTGAAATTGATATTCAAAATTTGATTAGAAGATCCCAAGAATTGGATGAACCTGTCAATGATGAGGAAAGTTTTTGGTCTGCTTTCGATCAGTTAGTTCAACAGAAAGTCAGTATTACAAATCCTGATATTGCTGGAGGATTGCCTGTCGAATTTCGACAATATTTGAATAGGACAATTGTTGATAGGGAAACCAATCTCAACCCTTTGAATTCTTGGGAGTTCATGAAGGGAGAATACCTTCACGTTTATCAAGTTTCTCTAAAATTTTTACCAATCTTGGATATCTCTGTTTCTGCACAACGACTTTTTTCACATGCAGGGCTTATTGTCACACAGTTAAGAAATATAATTCTAGGTGATAACCTTGACAAGATTATTTTTCTTTGATGTTTAGATGATAAATATTTTTAAATAATAATTTAAAAGATTTTTAAAACTTTATATTTTTATAAATGTTTAAAAATTTTGGTAGGTTTTTAAGTCACGAAAATACGAAATAAAGGAATTTACGAGTTCGAAATCTCTTTTACTTTAAAACTGCTACTAACATCGAGAGTAGATAATAATTTGCATTTGAATCTTATCTTAATGCTTTCATTTTTTCTTTTTGTACGGGTGTGAATGTGGAGAATTGATCATTTAACGTTTAAAGATAATATTTTGTTATTTATTATACTCAAGATCAATTTTTTTAAGAATAATTTGTTACCCATATCATTAGATCCGATTATTACGAATAATTATTTTTTTAATGTAGGACGGAGTATTTAAATACGTTATTTAATTAAGTCAATATTGATATTGGTTTTTAGCGACTAATTTCATGGCGCCCTCAACGACGACCTTTGACCTGATTATGAGGATGTGTTTGCCTCTTGACCTATCACTTTCACATAAAGTTATGCTGAATATTCTATAGCACTCATGTGAAGGAGTCTCTGGGGCGACGACCTTTGATTTTGAGGTTATTTTTGCATCTTGACCTACGACTTTGACCAAAAGTTATATTGAGTATACTATATTCTCTCATGTAAAGGGATCTCAGAAGCTTAACTTGATAAGTCAGCAATGTCAACATAGTTGACATTGCTCAGCGATCAGCTGCCATTTGATCATTTCTTTAAAAAAATCTAAATTATTTTCGCCTTTTTTAAAAAAAGAACTTCAAAACTAACCTCACTTTATTTATTTACAAAATGTATAATTATTAGTTCATTTTTGTCAATTAATAAATATCTCGAAAACAAGAAAGTTTATTTTTCATTTTGATTATTATAAGAATACGTCTTAAGATTTACTTCAAGTTGAATTTCCACTTTGTGACAGGCAGTTTTTAAAAATATTAATTTATACTTATAGAAGCCACATATTTATGAGAAGAAGTTTTCTAAAAAGTTTCTATGTTCCTTCATGGAAAATAATTATACTGAAATATGATATTCTTTTCATCTTTTAAATAGCAATACTGATCCAAAAGTTTTAAAACAAATTTTAATCATCTGCAAGTTTGCTTCTTTCATGCATCAACATAAAAGTTGATAATATCGTCGCATTTAGTCTATTTTTTCACAATTCCTGCATATGATTTTTACTTTTCTTGCAAATCCACAATTGCCTCGATTCTATGTAAAACTACCAATGTACTTATAATAGTGCCAATAAAAGATTGAAGAGAAGGAGTTGGAAAAAGAATTTAATCGTCTTTGTATTCTTGAATTTCTTTAGTTGTTGTTTTCTACTTTTCTAGTTTCGAAACTGAATTCTGGTTTTAGCTTGAAAATCTCAATATTTTTTTTAGAAAGTTCTGGAGATTTTCAATTTAAATATTTTGACGAGAACTTAAAAAGTTACAACTCCATCTGTCTTTAGACAGTTTATAAAATTTGCCAAAGTCTGTCAGTTTTTCCGAAAATTCAAAAACGAATGCTTGTAGAATAAAACTTCACATTGATACGAACTTTTCCTTAACATGAAATTGTCTTGAAATGAATAGAATGTAAAAAAGAATAGATGGATTATTATTTGAAAAACGAAAAGTCTGATTGTACATTAAATAAATATTTGATTTGTTTTCAAATAAAGTAACTTTTTTGTAAATTGAATTCATTAAATGTAGAATTAATTGAATTCATAATAAAATGTAGCTTCCTGTGCATAAAAAAACATCTTAAGGCTTGCATCCATTTCCCTTTAAATGGCTAGTACATAAGAATTAAGGAGTGATCGCCTTTCTTTTCCTTTTGTTTTTCGGGTGTATATTTTCCAAGATTTGTAAATCCTTCAACTTTAAGGTTACGTCGATTAAAAGCTAACGATTTTGACAACTTCATTTCGTCGACAAAAGTACACCTGTATACAGAATGTTAATTGCTATCAACATATATAAATTTGATAAGGCAAGGCAAATGTAGAACTCAAAATGTTTTTACTCACCACGTGTTTCATTGGCTTTCATCACCTATATTTCTTTGCTTAATATACTAAAAATGCTAGATTGGAAACAATAGCAAACAAAAATTTTTTTAATATAACGCTTCAATGTTGATGGATGCGGTAAAACAAGGATTCGACGTTTTCTTATGTGATTATAAGCTTTTTTGCTTTAAATGTTTAAGAGTAAACATTCGTACACCCATTGCGTTGTATACTTCATGCCTTTCAAACTTTTTTCTTTGATGCTTCAAAGCAATTTTGGACTGAAATTTGTTCAGTAAAAGATAACTTTTCTATCGCCTTGTTGATATTGATTATGTCTGCCTCTGCACATTTTTTGCAAACTTTTAACATTAGCCTTCAATTCCCTTGTCTGTAAAAATATAGTTAATATATGGCACTAGCTGCTTTAAATGACGTGAAATAGGTAAACAAACATTTTTCAACCACTTTTTCTCTAAACACAGACACTTTTTACAAAATATGCCAACGTACAACGGGTAAGTATTTTTTAGAATACAATAATTCAAAATATTGTTTAAATCCAGCCAAAAAGGCGGTTGTAAAATACAAAATTGGAAACTAATGTAATGACAGACAGCAAGAAGCGATTTACTGGTAGTCACCAGAAGAGGGCAGAACTATACAGAGCGAATACAATGGCCAGCCGTCATATTCTTAGCATTACATTATTTTACATTTTACAACCGCGTTTCAGCATGAATTTAAACAATCTTTTAGATTATTGCATTTTAGAATATGCTTACCCGTTGTACTTTGGCATATTTTGTAAAAAGTGTCAGTGTTTAGAGAAAAAGTGGTTGAAAAATGTTTGTTTACCTTTTTCACGTCATTTAAATCAGCTAGACTAGGAGACTAATTAATTATAATTAATAATAATTATTAATAATTAAATAATTAAATAATTAAACTTTTTTAAATTAAACTAGATCCTCTCTCACATAAATAATACTCATTTGAGGAGTCTACTTCCTCCATAGGTCTCTATTTTACATTTGAGATCGTACTTCGAAAATAAAAATTCATTAAAGCATTATATCTCAGATTATTCACATATAATTTTTTTAATACATACGATCTTGAAGCATCTTCCTTAAGATTATCCAGAAAGGATAAATATAATCCCAAAAACAATGGTTTTTTAATAGTGGCGCCGGAACCACTGGCTGGAATCTTCTTTTTTCTAAAGTAGGAAGTCTTAAGTTTTAAAAGCTTTTGTTTTGTAAGTTCAGGACCCCAACCTACAGAAAAAAATATTTATGTTTATCCGGTTAACAAAAAAATAAGTCACAAATTCCGAAAAGTTTAAGTTCACATTAATTAGTTAATTTAACTTTATTTAACTTAAAATTGCATAATATAATAAATATATCGAATAGTTTCCAAAAAAATAGGGATTTAATTTTTCCCTCATTTCTAAAAAAAATTTCATTTCTTTTTTCTAATTCATATAAAGAAATTCAAGAGATGTTATCTGAAGCATCTGTATAATATCTGTATAATAGAAAAATAGTGTATTGTGCATCTATAGGGTAAAAATCAATTTCCTTCCGAGTTTCACATTCTATTTTTTCCAACACTCGTATACCAAAAGTACAGACGCGGTTTTGTGGTTATTACTGATGACAGTATGATTGTGATTGGTAGTGACATAGTAATTACTCGTCATGATTTAATTAATACAAGTTTTAAGCGAAGCCTTTCGTTACTCTTTCTATATCTCTTACTAGTGAAAATGTCTCTCTGTCTTTCTCTTTCTAGATAATTTACATGAATCGGTCTCTGTATATAACGCAGAAAATTAAAAGCTAACCCATCTTTCTTTAATTCAATGAAAATAGCATAAAACTATCTCTCTTCAGGTAACGGTATTGCTTTCTTCCTCTTTCGAAGGTAAATAACATTAGAATGTCTCTCTCTATTTAATTTGCATATTTACTCGTTTCATAGAAGGATTTACTTTTTTTCTTTTATCGGATAATATTAATTTGATTAGGCAACTTTTTCAAAGATAGGTTGATGATATTACACAAAACTATTAGTAACATCAGAGATTGATAGTTTATAATTATTTCAAATGTATATAACTACTCATAAAGTGCAGATACCTGAAAGACCTTTTTCAGTATAATTACTAAAATAAATAATAATTCAATATAACTATTCCTATGATAAAATAAAAAAAAATATTAAAAAATAAATTAAATAAAAATAAAGACTCAGCTTGTTGAAAAGATCTAGAGAATCTTTGAATGTCCAACGATAAGACCTTAATGCAGAGAGAGGTGATTCACAGAGTAAGGGAAGAACTAGAAGCACGTCGAATAGGTGGAGAAATGAATGTGTCAATGGTGTGCCGCCCTGGAATCCCTACTATAATTAAAATCCCTCAACGGTAACGCACATTCACTTTTACAGTTCAGATAGTTGGGTGTAAGAAAAATCTGTTGTGATTTCCCCTCTTAGTGCTTAAAGTGGTATCCCTTCTTTGACATTATATTAGTTTATTCAAATCTACTACAATGATATTTACGAAAATGAACTTTAACAACGTATTTCTATGTATCTATAGTATTTTTTATAGTAAACAAGTTTACAATAGAAATACTAGGCACAATTCTATATTTAGGTCCAGTTTCATCAATAACGATTAAAAGTTATTGAATAATTAAATCCTCAATCAACCAATCATGACCCGTTAAACAGACTTTAATTATTGATTAGCTTTTAATTAAGGTTTGCAAAACACGCCCTTACTGTAAAAATCCATATAATTAATTATATTTGCATTTGTAATCAGGAGACTTAGTAAATTTATTTTCTTTATTGTATAAACTCTCTCTGGTCAAAAAACATGTTCGTTCCAAAAGGGTTCTTAAAACGTTTTTAGAACGTTCCATGTCCTCCAAATAATGTTCCAAAACATTATAAGCACGCTCATGTTCAAATAATGTTCTAAAACAATATATTTAGCGGATATGAAACGTTCTAAAAACTTTTAAAGAACATTTTTGGAACGAACATGTTTGTTTGTCCAGAAGTCTTATACCTATACTGAACATTAACGTATTGAAACACCAACTTAGATTAAATTTCTATTTCTTTTCTTATTCTATTAGCTCAATAACTATTAGAATTTAAGAGTACTATTTGTAGAAAAGTGCTTTTCCCGTCAATTAATAAATAATTAAATTTTGTAGTTATGTAATAAATAATAATCATTATTACAGATTCTACTTTAGCATAATCAATTTTTTCTCGTGTATGATACCGAAAACCAGAACTTTTTAAATGCGATAAACTGAAATAACAGCTTTCAGAATAATACTTCAATTTATGCGAGTTAGGTTTAATTTTCCATGACAATAAACCACAATGACAGTACTCACAAACCACATCTGGGGCATACCATAGGTTTGGGATAAATGACAAACAAAAATAACCTTCATAACAATTAATAACACTTTTTGTTAAATTTCGCAAACGATATACGGGAGAAAAAAATCCACAGAAATTTGTTATATTTTGAATATTCAGTTGCGTAGCTACAGTAACTAGTTTCAGGCAGATTTGGTGATTTTTTAGAAAATGTATCCGTTATTTTGGTTCCGCCATTTTTAATTTTAATATCCTGACATCCGATTCGTAATCAGCTACCCTAAAAACCCCCGAGTAACGAGTTTCCGCCATATTGGATCCGCCATTTTGAATTTTGAAAAACTGACATCGGATTCGTAATCAGCGACCCTAAAAACCCTTAGATATCAAATTTAATGAAATATTAATATTTTTTAAAAGAAATCTTGTCACTTTTTATTTAATAGTTGTTTTTTCACCCAGAAGACACAAACGATTTGATCTAGCAACACGGCCAGACACGGGTACATTTTTTAGTCCTAGTTTCCGAAAATGTTTCATTTTTTTGTGTTTGGAAAATCGTGTCAGATGGTGTTATATATAATATATAAATTTTTACTATGTTTACATATAAAATTATAATACTAAATTGCCATTTGACTTTTTTAAAACGAATATTTATTTAGTCCTTTTTCTTTTTATTCCAGTAAGAGGTGATTTACCTTTTTTTCTTCTTTTATTATTTCTAATGCCCCGTTGACTTTGATGTTAATATCCAGATTCTAAAGCAGTTGATAAGAATCACTTTTTACCGCCGACACTTTTACTGGCTTCTGCTCAATTATATTGATCCCATAACTGTTTTCAAAATTCAAAATGGCGGATTCAATATGGCGACCTAATATGTTGTATAATTTTAAAATTGATACTTTTTGATCGTAATTCTATTCTCGGGGGTTTTTGATGTCACTGATTACGAATTTGATGTCAGATTTTTAAAATGCAGAATGGCAGACCCAATATAGCGGATAATTTGAGAATTGATGTGTTCCGATCTAAATTCGTTTCTCGGAAGTTATCGGGATCGCTGATTGCAAATCTAATGTCAGATTTTCAAAATTCAAAATGCACGGAGAAAAATGTATAGTTAAAAGTAGATAGTTAGAAAATATATAATCAAATTTTATATCTGTATAGTTAGAAATATTATCTTCCTGAAATATTATATATTCCCGTTTAGTATATCTAGATAATCAAATTTATTATCCTGGATAGTCAACTTGCCGAGCGCTTGCGCAGAAGTTTGATTAAAAAAATATTTTGGATTTACGTAATTAAGAAGATTTGTGTCAATGGTTCGGATTCAGATTTTGCATAAAGTGCTTGTGTGCAGAGAAAAACTCGTTCGAAAATGATTGTTTACCAATTTCACGTCATCAAACCAGGCAGTGTCGTATTTGTTGGGTGATAGCAGTTTGTCGAATATAATCTAGAAATTTCAGAGACTATCGAACACCGTTAAGTATAGTTTTATATTATTCGAAGTTTAAAAACATTGTCAAGTTTTTTATACTGAATTTCAGATATAATATTGCTTAAAAAATATTGATAAAAAATAAATAAAACTTACGATTAGCAACATAACCTTTAAACCTGTCAAAAAGGATTTAAACTTTTCAAGGGTACCGTTAAATTAATGTATTCTGTTCTTTAAATTTTTCAGATTTTCCATAAAAAATTATTTATCTAGGAAAAATGTTCACTAATTTCTAAAAAAAATTAGCTTTTATCATTAAATATTTCTTATTGATCAATTTAGATGTGTATAAACACAGCAACTTGCGTTTATTATCTAGGATAGTCAAATGTAAACATCTTGGATAATGGCAGTTAGTATGTAAGTTTGATTATCCCAAGATACTAAATTTGAATATCTAGATAGTTGTCCTATAGTTGAGTATCCAAGATCATCACCCTGATTATCTAGATAGTAAATTTAACTATCCATTTTTCTCCGTGTGTCGCTAAAATATGTTATTGTACATGAAAAATAAAGAGACACGTATTTTTTATTTTTTAAGGTGGTTAGTTCAAAATCAATGATAATAGAGAATTACTTGAAAACTTGAGCAAAATTAATTAACCTATTAATGCACATTATTGTTGAATCTTAGATTTTTTTATCGTACGGTTCTCGAGATATTGTCGTCCAAAATTTAGTATTTTTCTCAATGTTTGCATTTAGCTAATGGACGCCGCGAACGAAAAACTGACTATTTGATATATATCACTTTATAACTTTTGATGCACAATATGGATTCATCTCAAAATTAAAACAAAACTAATTTAATATTCAAAGATAAGAATACTTAAAACACTGTACAATTTATCGTTTAGTTACAGAGTATTCTTATTCCAAAAAATATAGTTAAATAAAAAATTTTTGTCATTTCGTTTGATATGGAGAATGTGGCAACGTTGCAACTGCCGCGGAGGAAATAGAGTACGCGAAAATTCAAACCAGTTCAAGTATTTAGAAAAAATTTGCTTTATTCATCTTTGTCCAAAAAAATCCATGAATAAATTTTCGTAATACTTATTTACTTTTTTGAAACAATTCATGAACTTTTCTTTTAATTGGAAGTAAACTATATGCGTATAAATTAAATACTAAATTGACATTACCTTGAAAAATTAAATTTTAATTTCAAATTAAATTATTATTATTATTACTGTTATTATTAAATAAATATTATTTTTAATTATTTAACTAATTTTCAAATTTTGTATTTAAATATGAAATAAGTATTAATAATAAATATAAATGCAGAAAGAAATATTTACTCTTAAATTTCTCGATAATGTGCGACTAACAGTTGTCACCCAACAAATACGGCACTGACCGGTTTAAATGACGTGAAATTGGTAAACATTCATTTTCTAATAAATTTCCCTCTGTTCACAGGCACTTTTTATAAAATATGACAACGTTCATTTGTCACAAATGTTTTTAATTGTCTGAATTGAAAAGATCTTGTTAATCTATACAGAAACACGGTTGCAGCGGTTGCAGCATTGGAATTACAGTAGCAATTTAATCTTAATGCGAATCATTTTGACAGCTGAGCCTTTGCGCTCCCTGCATGCTTCTGCCCTCTACTGGCAAAATGGCTGTAACTCACGTCTTGCCGCCTGTCATTACATTACTTTTGTAATTCCAATCCTGAAACCGCGCTTCTGCATGGATTAACAAAATCTTTTGAATTCAGACAGTTAAAAACATTTGTGACAAATGTACATTGTCATATTTTGTAAAAAGTGCCTGTGAACAGAGGGAAATTTGTTAGAAAATGAATGTTTACCAATTTCACGTCATTTCAAACAGTCAGTGCCGTTTATCTTGGGCGATAACTGTAAGTCGCACATAACCTACAAAATTCAAAGACCATCGAACGTTCTTAAATGGCAATTGATTTTCCATTTTGTCTTACTAATATTTACACGTAGTTGCATTAAAATATTGATTATAATCACAAATCATCACGAAAATAAAATCAAGTTTACAAATTAACATCAGCTGTACGTACATGCAGTGACTGCAGTGTTGCCACGTCTCTAACTACAAAACACTACGTTCTTCAAAACATTACTATTTTTTATTTAATTTTCTATTATTTACAAATTTATACATCGTAACTTAAAGAATAATATTTAAAAATGTGATTTTTTATTTTATATTATAATATTTATTTCTTTTTTGAACTTTTAGAAAAAAAAATTTTACTTTTGACTAGCCTCCTGGAACTAAACACCTTAAAAAAGATAAATTTAAAGAAATTACGCACATTTGAACTTTGAGTGGTAAAACTCGAATGAACAGTGATAACAAATTTTTTTTGCTTCTCATTTTTTTTCTTTTGACAATAATTTAATTTTCTTTTTTGAGTCTTGTAGATGGTCTTGTCCTCTTGAAAATCCAGTTTGAAATTTAAAAAAATATTTTAAATTTTAAAAATAGGGGATGATTTTCTGAAAATAAATAAGATCAATTTTCTCAAAAACGCCACCTTTCTTCTTATCAAATTTTTACTACAAGTTCTTAAAATAATTATGAACATTTCCTATGAATTTCAAGCGGGCTAAACCATTCTGGCAATCAGGAGAATTTTTTTAAAATATTTATTTTTGCAAATTTTTAAATTGTTAACTTGCATTTTTAAAAACAAATGAATCGTTATAACATTGTTGACGTAAACGTTGACAATTTGAAAATTTGTAAAAAAAAATTTTCCTGATTGCCAGATTGGTTTAGCCCGCTTGAAATTCATAGATTCAACAGGGTCATAAAAAACCCTTTAGTAGTCACAAGACATCAAATTTTCTGATGTTTTCTTATTATTCCTGATTTTATTTTTAGCAGGGTGGGTACAATATTTTTATAGATATTTATCTATTTTCTGAGTTATGGGACGGAAGGGAGCAATTATTGCCTGATTAGTAACTGGCAACATTGCACTGCAGTATTGCCAAGGTTGCAATGCAATTTACATTATCTAGGAAGTAAAAATTATCTAATTGCTAAATAGATATTTTTTTGTTTCATCTGTGAAAATAATACATGTTTAAATGTAAAACTTTTCACTGAATTTCATAAATTTTTTCTATTTATCTATTTCAAATTCTTTTTTTAACTTCGATGAGTTTTTAAATTACTTTTTCACGATGTCGCTGTTAATGTTCAAGATATATGAAAAAAGTTTATTTCCATACACGTGTATATATACAATTTCTTTACATTAAATGTTTTCAAATGATCTGTAGATTTTCTATTGGTTAATAGAACATAAAATTCAATGATAATTTATGTTTATTACATGTTCTTCAGAGAAATGTAAAAATTTGTGAAATTATAAAATATTTCTGAACGTTATATTGTTAGTCTTTTGCAAAAATAGCTGCATAGTTTGAGCAACTAAAACTAATAAGCTTTATCTAATTGTTTAATTTAATGAAAAAAGAGAATTTAATTTTGCACTAATAATGTAAAATCAATAATAAAATACATTTCCGTCAGCTTTAGTAACTTCTGACAGATAGGCTGATTCTTGACACCATTAAAACAGGTAATATTACAATGTAATAAAATATTATCCTATAATAAATTGGCTATACCTAATCCCTTCGATTTTGAGAAAAATTATTATGATGGACCAAAAATGCATAAAAAAAGGAAATTAGCAGTTTTAAAATTTGTTTTGTGCACTGTCTACTTTACTTTGCATTATTACTTTTTTCCCTCAGCTTACGCTGACTTATCCCTACTCTAGCGCTTTTTAATGTAATTCCCATAGTCCCCACCAGGCGACCGAATTATCGTTTTTTGTCGATAACGGTCACTTGCGTAAGCAGAGAGTTAAGTTGATTAGTGCAAATATTTTCAAATCGTGAAATATCCACTTAGATTTCATATATTTAATTCTTTTTAAAAAATTACAGATTTGGATAGTTTTTTTTTGCCATATAACTTTTTTTAATTAAAAATTTTCATTAGACAATATAGCGATATAAATAAATAAGTCGACGGTTTAGAGTGCAAACCTGCTAACTCACAATTATGAAATTTTTCAGGAGAGTCAAAAAACTTTTCAAACGAATTTTTAGGTTATATTCTTATAGAACAAAACTTTCAGTATATTTGTTTTATTAATAGAATAACACAATGCTACTTAATAATAATAAGTACTTCCTTTTGAAATATATCTCAATTGATATCTCTTACCCCGTGTAGAAATCACTATGCTATGCCTAAAATGATTATTGGCCCTAGCTTGGACCTAACTTGGCAACCCCTTTTTATATATCCTAGGCTGGTCCTAACTTGGTACTAACTAGGAGATCCAGTTATGACTTAGAAAATTTTTTAGGAAAATAAAGTGTCAAAATTGATACATGAAAAACATGTAAAAATTGATAAATATTCTCAATTAATATTTATAAAATTAATTGATAATCATATTTGTTTAAACAATTTATTGTTTGACATAAATCAGAAAATTATACAAATACTATAAAATAAAGTTAATTTATTAATTTATTAATTCAGCAATTGTTTAAACAAATAATTGTTATTTACTAACTTTTTACACAATCAACCTAGAAACTAGCAGTTTTTTCTAATTTTGCAATAAGTAAATACTCAGATTAGTTAATTGCAAAATTTTAAAAGACTACAAGTGTCTAGACGCTTTATTGTCTCAAGAGTTAATAAATAACAACAATTTTTTGTTTAAACAAATGCTTAATTGTTAAAATTATAAATTATCTTCATATTTCACTACTCAAGTGTAATAATCGCGAAGTTAGATAAAAAACTGCAAATTTTTAAGTAATTTGTTACAAAAGTTAATAAAACAGCAAAATTTATTTATTTATTAAAACAGATACAGACTGCAATATAATTATCATTATGAAAATATATTTCTAATTTCGTTCGCTGATTTTAAGTTTCGTTTAAGTTGGTGCTAAACACTAAGAGATATTGCAATTCGAATGTGGGCTGACCCACCCAGGTCCAACCAGGACCTACCTGGGCTTCCCAGTTTCATTAGCAAAAATTTCTAAGTCCAAGTCTAAAAAATTTTTTGCAACAAAAAATTAATACTTAAAATGATTTAGAATAATGAAAAACGTGTTTTTAACATAAATTTTTTTGACATTTTTTTAAAAAGTGGATCACTCGCTTAATTAATTAGGAAAAATTTCCAAGTCCCGTGTAGAAATCACCATGCTATGCCTAAAATGATTATTGGCCCTAGCTTGGACCTAACTTGGCAACCCCTTTTTATATATCCTGGGCTGGTCCTAACTTGGTACTAGATAGGAGATCCAGTTATGACTTAGAAAAATTTTTAGGAAAATAAAGTGTCAAAATTGATACATGAAAAACATGTAAAAATTGATAAATATTCTCAATTAATATTTATAAAATTAATTGATAATCATATTTGTTTAAACAATTTATTGTTTGACATAAATCAGAAAATTATACAAATACTATAAAATAAAGTTAATTTATTAATTTATTAATTCAGCAATTGTTTAAACAAATAATTGTTATTTACTAACTTTTTACACAATCAACCTAGAAACTAGCAGTTTTTTCTAATTTTGCAATAAGTAAATACTCAGATTAGTTAATTGCAAAATTTTAAAAGACTACAAGTGTCTAGACGCTTTATTGTCTTAAGAATTAATAAATAACAACAATTTTTTGTTTAAACAAATGCTGAATTGTTAAAATTATAAATTATCTTCATATTTCACTACTCAAGTGTAATAATCGCGAAGTTAGATAAAAACTGCAAATTTTTAAGTAATTTGTTACAAAAGTTAATATAACAGCAAAATTTATTTATTTATTTAAACAGATACAGACTGCAATATAATTATCATTAGTAAAATATATTTCTAATTTCGTTCGCTGATTTTAAGTTTCGTTTAAGTTGGTGCTAAACACTAAGAGATATTGCAATTCGAATGTGGGCTGACCCACCCAGGTCCAACCCAGGACCTACCTGGGCTTCCTAGTTTCATTAGCAAAAAATTCTAAGTCTAAGTCTAAAAAATTTTTTGCAACAAAATATTAATGCTTAAAATGATTTAGAATAATGAAAAACGTGTTTTTAACATAAATTTTTTTGACATTTTTATAAAAAGTGGATCACCCGCTTAATTAATTAGGAAAAATTTCCAAGTCCAAAAGACGAATATTTTTTTTAGACCAAGAAATTAATGTTGAAAATGATTGAGAACAATGAAAAACCTGTTTTTAACGAAAATGTACAGATATTTTTTTTCTTGATATAATATAAAAATATTAATTTTTGAATTTTTATATTTGGATATTATTTTATTATTATTGTTGTTGTTAAACTATTTTTTTTATTTATTATCGTGTATTAGTGTCAATAATTACTATATTGAATCATCAAAAGCAAGTCCACAAGTCACTGACAATAAAAATTTTCATCTCAACTAGTTTCATTAGCATAGTGGTTAGGGCGTTAGTCTCGTAGTCCGTAGGTCGTAAGTTCGATTCCCGCGTGCGTTAGATTTTATTTACTTCTTAGGTTTGCGTTTATTCCGATTTTTCTGCATTGTATTCGTATAAGTATGCAATTTAATGATTATATATACTGTAAAATAATTTAATTAACAAATTTCTAATTTTTTTATAATTTTTAATGTATATATTAGAGGAATATATATTAATCTCTACATATACTAACATTATTTATGAATTCGCTTTTGGTCATCACTTAATTGAAAAAAATAATAATTAATTAAAACTAATACTTATTATTAATAATTTAGGTTATTTCTTTAACAAATATTATAAACTAATTAAAATTATAATGAAATAGAAAATACTGTCTGAGATGGTCCTTTCTAGGTCCTAAAATGGACCCATAAACTGGTCCTAACTAGGCTCCCAAGTTAGGACCAGGCTAGAATCGCATCACCACCCATTGTTGGTCCAACCTACACTGCCAACCTAGGACCAAGCTATTAACAGGGCAAAATAGGTAGGACCTGGCTAGGACCAATTTTCATTTTCCACACGGGAAACTCAAAATATAGACACATTTCAATACAATACAATATATTATGTGGAGTTATAGCAGTGCAATTTGACATGTATGGAGTTAGCTGTTTTATTCATAACACTTTTTTAGCAATTTAGAGACATAATTTCGTCAAACTGTTTTACTTGGCTGATGTATCACCTCTTTATCTATCAAATACAAAAAGAATCTCAAATTTGATAAAAAGTGGAGTTAGCAGATTTGCACTCTAAACCGTCGAAGTGCCAAAAAAATAAATAAATTGTTTCATAATTTTCAAATTTTACCGGATTCGTTTAAAACTTATTACCTACTCGGGGGTTTTTGAGGTCGCTGATTACGAATCTTAAGTCACTTTTTAAAAATTCACAATGGCGGATCCAATGTGGAGGACACTTATTTACTCGGGTGTTTTTGGGGTAGCTGCGTACGAAATCTGAGATCAATTTTTAAATTCAATATGACAGATGCTAATGAAAAGGTTTCCAATTTTAAAACCAACTTTTTCACCTTTTCAACGCTATTTAAAAAAAATATTACTTTAATTAAATATAATTATTTGATGTGTATTTTTAAATAATCCTCGTATGTAGGATCGTAAATGGGTGATTAAAATTAAAATGTCATGTTCATGTCCAGCCTGAAATTTTGGAATACCATTTAATATATAAAAGTTTTTTAAGTCAAATATTTTTATTAATCACTTGTTCTACTTAAAGGACTTAAGGTAATAATTTTTAGACACTATAAATTCTGTAAAAAAATTTGATACAGAAAAATTAGATGCTTTTTTTAATTTATCTCATGATGACCCACTTAAAAAGTTTTTTCAATTACTCAATTATTTTTTTTCTAATTTTTAGGTCACATAATATCTTCAGGAATAATAAGTTTCAACTAAATTTGTACATCACAATAGCATCATGATCAGAGTAGTGACTCTCTGCCTACTATTCACACATATCAGTTGCCAACAACAAGAGAGTTTTAATCTTTCTGACATATTGAAAATGGAAGAAACTTTAAAAGAATCTATAGAATTCGTAAAGAATAAAGTTACAGATAAACGCGGGGTACTTTTTATTGGCATTGCTAAAGCTGGAAAAAGTACATTAATGAATTATGTAATTGGTAAAAAATTAAAGGCTGTAAGAACGCATAAGTTCGAAAACATAATGATTACACAAGAAAGCGAAGGAGATGCTGCTCCGGAAATTGGTAACAAATCTACATCATTAACCACAATTCCAACAAAGTGGAAATCGAACAAAATTCCCGATTTTACTCTGTGGGATTGTCCTGGATTTAGTGATAATAGAGAATTAATACAAGACGTTACTAATGCCTTGTATATCTATCAATTGATAAAAAGTATTGATGAAATAAAATTTACGTTGGTTATTAGTTATGATGCCTTTAAAGATGATAACATTCAACCTTTTCTAACACTTTTAACCCATATTGCAACATTGTTTGGTAATAACTTTAAACATATTTATGACAGCATATCAGTCATTTTCACAAAAGTGCCGTTCTCTGTAAATAACGAAGTCGTTAATAATGAATATATAAACAGCAAATTGCGGGAAAAAGTTGTATTAAGAACTCAAATAAAAATGGATGAAAGTTCTCGAAATTTCATCAATTATTTAACAAATAATGAAGATAATATTGCCATATTTAGAAGACCAAAAAGAGAAGGTAAACTCACTACTTGTGTTAATGATAACATAATGCCGGCAATTAGAAAAACAAAGAAAATTAACAACATTTTAATCAAAGATGTAAAACCAAGCCTTTCTGTTGAATCTTCTTTGTACTTGCGCACAAGCCTGTCAGATTTACTGCAGACGAAATCATTTTTAGACATGCAAAATGATGTATCAAGAATTCTACAATCTTTAGAAAAAGAAATAGATGGAAAAAAATGTATTCAAAATTTTGGATGTATGTCATATAATAAAGTCAAGCTTACAAGATATGCATACAAAATAAAATTATATAGTAATAGAAATAATTATGCATTTGATAATATAGAAATGCTTAAAAACCTGCGCGTTGAATTCAAAGAATCAATACATAAGAGGAATCTGTTAGAAATAATGAAAGCAGTTTCATTTATCGATATAGTTCTGAAAAAAAATGCAGAAAAGCAAATAGCATTATTTGTTAAATCCATTATGGATCATTTTGAAGCAGCTATTGTAAACTTAATAGCAAAGATTGATTACAATTATTATAATATGCACAAAAATAAGTTTACTGTCACCATAAAAAACTAAGTTAAAATTTTCGTTAATTTATAATTAATTATTATAATTATTATTATTAAAATTATTATAATTATATTTATTATATAATTTATATATAATTATAATGTTCAGAAATAATAATAATTAGTATTTAGAAACAGTAAAATTTAACTATATAATATGTAATAATATCCGTCCAGTAGACGAAACTAGACAATAGTAACCGAAAAACTCGCTGATACAATATAAACAATTATATTTCTATGTACTGAAAAATGTAAAATAAATATAATAAAATTAATGTTAGAAATATATATACCTATACTATTCTTTTTGCTGAATTAAGATTTTTAATTACGAGTCAAGAATTGGACTTTATTAGCAATTAGTGATATCTATTAGATGCCATTTAATAAACTCTTTGGTTTAGAGTTACAGGTGTTTTAATGTTTAAATGACATCTAATTGATGTCAGTAATTGCTGATAAAGTCAAATTTTTCATTTGTAATTAAAAATATAAGAAAACTAATAGAAATTGTTTAGTTGCAATAATACTGCTTCACAGGTAGAGGTCTTATTAAATGCAGATATATATATATATATATATAATTTAAAATAATAATTATAATAATAATATAATAATAATAATATATATTATTATATAATATTAATAATATATAATAATATAAATTGATTAATATAATAAATATATATCGAATAGAGTTGCCAAAAGAAATAAGATTTAGTTTTTCTTTGATTTCTAAAAAAAATTCATTTGTTGCTTTCTTCCTTTTTCGAAGGTAAATAACATTAGAATGTCTCTCTTTATCTAATTTGCATAAATTTACTCGTTTCATAGAAGGATTTCCTTTTTTCCATTTATCGGATAATATTAATTTGATTAGGCAACTTTTTCAAGGATGGGTTGATGATATTACACAAAACTATTAGTAACATCAGAGATTGATAGTTTATAATTATTTCAAATGTATATGACTACTCAAAAAGTGCAGACATCGGTAAAGTTCTTTTTTCAGTATAATTACTAAACAAATAATAATTCAATATAACTATTCCTATGATAAAATAAAAAAAAATATTAAAAAATAAATTAAATAAAAATAAAGACTCAGCTTGTTGAAAAGATCTAGAGAATCTTTGAATGTCCAACGATAAGACCTTAATGCAGAGAGAGGTGATTCACAGAGTAAGGGAAGAACTAGAAGCACGTCGAATAGGTGGAGAAATGAATGTGTCAATGGTGTGCCGCCCTGGAATCCCTACTATAATTAAAATCCCTCAACGGTAACGCACATTTACTTTTACAGTTCAGATAGTTGGGTGTAAGAAAAATCTGTTGTGATTTCCCGTCTTAGTGCTTAAAGTGGTATCCCTTCTTTGACATAATCTTAGTTCATTCAAATCTACTACAATGATATTTACGAAAATGAACTTTAACAACGTATTTCTATGTATCTACAGTATTTTTTATAATGAACAAGTTCATAATAGAAATACTAGGCACAATTCTATATTTAGGTCCAGTTTCATCAATAACGATTAAAAGTTATTCAATAATTAAATCCTCAATCAACCAATCATGACCCGTTAAACAGACTTTAATTATTGATTAGCTTTTAATTAAGGTTTGCAAAACACGCCCTTACTGTTAAAATCCATATAATTAATTATATTTGCATTTTTAATCAGGAGACTTAGTAAATTTATTTTCTTTATTGTATAAACTCTCTCTGGTCAAAAAACATGTTCGTTCCAAAAGGGTTCTTAAAACGTTTTTAGAACGTTCCATGTCCTTCAAATAATGTTCCAAAACATTATAAGCATGCTCATGTTCAAATAATTTTCTAAAACAATATTTAGCGGATATGAAACGTTCTAAAAACTTTTAAAGAACATTTTTGGAACGAACATGTTTGTTTGTCCAGAAGTCTTATACCTATACTGAACTTTAACGTATTGAAACACCAACTTAGATTAAATTTCTATTTCTTTTCTTATTCTATTAGCTCAATAACTATTAGAATTTAAGAGTACTATTTGTAGAAAAGTGCTTTTCCCGTCAATTAATAAATAATTAAATTTTGTAGTTATGTAATAAATAATAAAAATTATTACAAATTCTACTTTAGCATAATCAATTTTTTCTCGTGTATGATACCGAAATCCAGAACTTTTTAAATGCGATAAACTGAAATAACAGCTTTCAGAATAATACTTCAATTTATTCGAATTAGGTTTAATTTTCCATGACAATAAGCCACAATGACAGTACTCACAAACCACATCTGGGGCATACCATAGGTTTGGGATAAATGACGAACAAAAATAACCTTCATAACAATTAATAACACTTTTTGTTAAATTTCGCAAACGATATACGGGAGAAAAAAATCCACAGAAATTTGTTATATTTTGATATTCAGTTGCGTAGCTACAGTAACTAGTTTCAGGCAGATTTGGTGATTTTTTAGAAAATGTATCCGTTATTTTGGTTCCGCCATTTTTAATTTTAATATCCTGACATCGGATTCGTAATCAGCTACCCTAAAAACCCCCGAGTAACGAGTTTCCGCCATATTGGATCCGCTATTTTGAATTTTGAAAAACTGACATCGGATTCGTAATCAGCGACCCTAAAAACCCTTAGATATCAAATTTAATGAAATATTAATATTTTTTAAAAGATATCTTGTCACTTTTTATTTAATAGTTGTTTTTTCACCCAGAAGACACAAACGATTTGATCTTGCAAAACGGCCAGACACGGGTACATTTTTTGGTCCTAGTTTCCGAAAATGTTTAATTTTTTTGTGTTTGGAAAATCGTGTCAGATGGTGTTATATATTAATATATAAATTTTTACTATGTTTACATATAAAATTATAATACTAAATTGCCATTTGACTTTTTTAAAACGAATATTTATTTAGTCCTTTTTCTTTTTATTCCAGTAAGAGGTGATTTACCTTCTTTTCTTCTTTTATTATTTCTAATGCCCCGTTGACTTTGATGTTAATATCCAGATTCTAAAGCAGTTGATAAGAATCACTTTTTACCGCCGACACTTTTACTGGCTTCTGCTCAATGATATTGATCACATAACTGTTCTTTTCTTTTTAAATTCAACGAACTTGAATGGATTTTCTAATTGAACTGTACTGACCTACACTGGTTGAACTATACTTTCTCTCTCTATCTCTGATAAACTCCGCCTTGCTCTCTGTTTCTCTTACTACTGTCCGTGTTCCATGAAGCCCTTTTTATAATTTCATTTTTTCCATAGTCCAAACTTGAAGCGCCTGTTTATAGGTGCATCGAAAAAAAGAAAACTAAGCATCACTGACATTAAAGGCTTTTTAATGTGTTGGTAGTTTTTTCATTGAGAGCGTTGGTGATTGTGTTTAGTATTCGTTTTCAAAAATCGAAGACGATGTTTTTGTACAATTTACTATTTCTTTTAAATGATGATCAAATAAGAGATTTAAACTCTTCGCAATCCAGTTAAAAATCGATTGTGGACCTGAAACAGTCTGAAAAAAAAGTTTTTAAAAAATATATAATTTCTTCGCATATATAAAAGATTTTTGTGGTCGCTGAATTCTAAATTGAGGATAGTTTTTCAAAATATAAAATGGAGGATTCAATATGGCGACCTAATATGTTGGATAATTTTAATTATTGATACGTTTTGATCGTAATTCATTTCTCGGGGGTTTTCGAGGTCGCTGATTACAAATCTAATGTCAGATTTTCAAAATTCAAAATGGCTGATGCAATATAATTTCTTTACTATGTTCCTGACTTTTGGAACTTAAAAATCACATTTTTAAATAATGTCTTTCCTTAGTTTTATACTTTATTTAAATTTAGCATTATAAATAATAAATAATAAAATATAAACAGGTTACGTGATTGATTCTAAAATCATGTCAAGAAAATAAAAATATTGTGTTTTGCCAATGAAAATGACAAAATTATACACTGCACCGCTTTTAGAGAAGTAGATATCATTTCCGCTAATAAAAGTAAAGTTTCTGAAAAAAGAAATTTCATATATAAATTTTGTATTATAAATAATACAATTGAGACGATAAATACAAAAATATCTAATAACAGGGTAATATAACGATTTTTCCAGAAGAAGTTATGGCGAAGTCGTGGAGTGACACTTGGTGGACGATCCTATGGCGCTGTAAAGGAAACAATAATCGACAAATTTAGTACGTAGTAGCAGGCTGTAATTTATCAAAATGAAAACGACGTTCCGGCTATGAAAAAAGCAATTATGGCCATAATTTACCATGGCGTATCTACCGATCGAAAACCACAACACCATTTTTCTCTTGTAGGTGAAAACTCTCTTGGTGTTTTTATCAAGCACTGAAAGCTATAAGTGTGTCATCGGGTCTTTATTTAAAGAATATTGGACCACCCATAAACACATTGCTAAGAAAATATTACTATTATTTTCAAAATAAAGTGCAAAATGCGAATGGATAGCTGCACAGTAGGGGAGGCTTGGGAATCGTGAATCATGAAGAATTGTGAGCCACCTTGTTATTTAATAATATTTGAAAGGTGGATCATCCATTTTTTTCTATTTTCTTTTGTTCGTTGAAAGTAAATTTTTCATAAGCGTTTTATGCCCTTACACTTACATATAAGCCCTGAAAAAAATCACCTGAAAAATTGCATTCAAATAAATATTTTTTACCTTCATGTTTTTCTTATTTTTACAGCTATTTTCCAGAAATTCTACAGGTCACAATTTTTTACCGAAACGATTTTTATTTTTTTTCTAAATCTTCGTAATTAAATACTCTATCGATCCTTCGAGCCCGATTTTTGTATTTTTGTTTTTAAACATTTTTTTAATAACTATCTACCATTAGTAGATATTTTACTCATGAAAAATTGCACAATTAAGAAAAAACTAAAAATTTCTAACCCTAAGTAGAATTTATGAAAAAAATAACAACTAATTGTTTAAACAATTTAACAAATAAATAATTTATTTTTTAATCATTAATAGAGGTTTTATTCCTGAAAATAATAAGAAGAAATAATCAAATTTAAGCAGAAATCTTGTCCGATCCATTTACAATGACCATAACTACTTATTCTCTTCGAACATGGTACTTTCTCAGTAGTGCAAGACGGGTTAAGTCAGACGTACATACTGCGGAAACAACTACATTAAAACTAACTAGCAGGTTTCACCTTTTAAGCTATACTACACTCATTCTTTTATTTCATAGGAAAAAAATTTATGTCCATCTATTTTTTTATTCA